AAAACCTGCGGGGAACTCTGCAAAAAACGCATCTTCGCACGGGCAGCCCGTGCGCTGGCCATTTATCTAATTTTGTGAAATGCTATCACAATTTATTTTCATGCTTTCACATTAGCAGACTCGGAGGCTTGTTCGAATTCATGTGAAATGGTTTGTTTTGTACAATTTGGCAACAAAACCATTCAAATCCTTACACTACCAATCAGCTGTTAAGGTATGTGTTATTTTCCAAACGCTTTTTTTTGACTTTGGTGCAAAAACTGCTCAAAGGTCCTGCACAGCTTGTTCGGAAGTTTGAGGGCACCTAACAAGTGATGCTCACACTGATTGGCAGGCCCACACTATTGTGTAGGCCTGCCAATTCCTTATAAATAAATATTTTTGCTAGAATTTGGTGGAGGTTTGAAGATTTGAGATTTTTAAACTGCTTAAGCTACGAGTCTGAATTCATTCAGCGATTCTTTCAGCTGATTCCAGGTTGCTAGGAGAGTTACTGCGAAGGCGCAGTTTAAAGAGATGTTAAAAGTTAACAATTCGCTTTACATTTGCTCTATTTGTTCCCCTCGACAGAATTGACTTTTGTAATTTATTTTCCTTGTTTACTGCAGTTCAAGCTGAATACCTTGGAATTTTGATGTTTCGCTTCTGCATTTGCGCAAGCAGTCAATGACTTGAGTATTTTCTCATCAGCTGCGTAGTCGACAAACTCGCCAGTGTATAAATCAGTGCATACCATCAGCTAGCTCTCCGTGGGAAAGAAAGCCACTAATCTTGCCAGCCAGAAAAGAAGTCGGGTAAAAACTGCTTTTTCTGGCATGTAGCAATCATTCGCGCATCTTCTGTCTTATTTTCTACTTTTACTCTGGTTTTGTACGATCAGCAAATAGCATTTAGGAGGCTGTACTAGTGATTCTCACTCCTACCGATACCTAGAGTTCTGCTTGTTTTTACGGGAAGCGGATACAGAATGCTTCGCCGCATATAACTTCTAATTCCTATACCTTCATCTTAAAATTGTCACACGTTTAGCTTTTGATGTCAAATTTCTAAGCAGCTTCAGAATCTTTTATAGCTGGTGGAGGATAAGTCATCGTTAATCTCAATTTGGATCTAAGTACATTAGCACGCACCGCATTTTGTCTTTTTGGTATTATCACTGGCACTTAAAAATGTCCCTTATTTTAACCTTTCGCAAACTTTCCAGTCAGCTTTTGGCTCAGCAGTTTTTGCTGCACATCATTGAAAAATTGTAAATGAATCCTTGTAAATGATTTTTAAATGAATTTCGAATTGATTTATCCCCAGTGCCACACTTCTGTTGTCTGTTAAACTAAAGGCAGCTCTGGACAAGCTACTTGCATTATTTGCTACCGCCCCTTCTCTTGCTTCTCTCCCATCACAACATATTCCTGGCCCTAAAAATAAGTATGGAGGCAGAATATCTTACCGATATGGATGAGACCTGGTAGAACTCCTTTGGTACCGCAGCCCCGTGAGGTAGTAAACGTATCACTTTGCCCAGTGCATGAAATGCAAAGTTGAATGGTGGCTCGGTGAGCTCAGGCGATACCTCAACGCTGCATTCGGCGCTTTGAAATGCGTCACAAACTGCATTCTGTACATCTGCAATGTTGAAAAATTAATGAAATATGGGTTAAGGCGCTCACCACTTAATGGAGGTCAGGCTTAGCTGAGCTTATACATGACACCTAATTCCAATCGTCTTACTCCACTATTCTTAGCTGCTTGTTTTTAGTTTCGCCCTCTCTAATTATTCTTGCCTTCTACGTGTTCTTGTCTTTCTGCTGATTCACCCAGCTAGTTCGCATCCCTGCATACATACGGCTGTCGTAAGGCGCCATTCCAGAATGCATCTGCTCAGGAAAAAGCGCTAGTGTGCACAGTTACTGTTCACTGTGAACAGTCCTGCGTTCGAAAGAAGCACCTATGCACCTTAGAAAACGTGAAGACAACATCTCTCGCACCAGGACCACAGACCCAAAGTACTGAATTTACTCCATTATAACATGGGTTTTCTGAGTCTAATTTGCCGAGGAACTGAATTTCGAGAAGTCGCTGTGCGAAATTTTTTGCATTTTTCATTGCCAATATAGGACTTGTACTTGTTTTCTCGCAGCTTCTCTCTTTCTCACTCATTAATCACTTAGAAAATCATTAAATGAATTCAAATTTTGGAATTAAATTTGACGGCATAAATCGGGCATTCATAAAGCAAACAGTCACCGAAAGTGGTAAAATGGATAAAAAAGCAGAAAGATTTCTAAAAAACGCCGAGTAGTGTGTTCTCTTCAAAGAAGCAGAAGATTTCTAGAAAAGGAGGAAATGTTTGCTGCAAGAAAAGTTCAGGTTTCAAACTTCGCGCAACCCGAGCAAAACTTTGTAGAGGAGAATCCGCTGTGAGGACAGTTGAACAGTTAGCCACCTTGAGATGTAGCTGAAAATAACTCGCTGAACAGTAGGACGAGGGCTGTGGTTAAAAGACAGAATATGAGTAGTTAAACAATTTTGTTATGCAGATCCACGTGCAATTCACTTTTATGCGTTTTTGCTGTGCAGCGCTACAGCAGCGCTTTAGCGCTGCTACAGCCCGCAAAAACGCATATTGTCGAGAGGCTGTGTGTGTATGTTCAGAAGCGAGTGCATTTTGTCACCCACTTTCGTCTCAGCAATCAGGAAAGCTGGGAGGCTGAAACTTTGGGTATATGTTCCTACCCCGTGTGTCACCCTCCCGTTTCA